CTCTTAGCTTCTTTGTGACTTTCCCTGTCTCCACTTCATCAATTAGAGAATTGCCCATTTATTCCCTGTCTGTGTCTCCTTTCATCTAGGAGATGTTTTTTCTCCTTTTTTCTTAGAAGCAAAGGTCTAATTGTATAGCTCAAATATCATCTTTGCCCTTTCTGAGGCTGTCAGTTTGTCACTGGTGGATAGATGGACAAGAATATTGTAAATGTCAGTGTGAACATGGCTGAGGTCTGGGTTTTCCCTCATTTTCTTCAGATTTCTTTTCAGCAGACAGATGAGTAGAATCACTTTGTTCAGCGCTGGCGTTTCAGCAGCGCTGACTCCTTTGGTGGCAATGATAAATGGATCCGAGATATGAAATAGCTGTTCCAGCAAAGTCCATTGAGCAGAATAGAGAACAATGCCCTCCTCAATGTCATTGTACGTGATGTAGTCAATGATTGCCACTTTTTGCACAAGAATGTGTTCAATCAGCAAGGTACAGAGAATTCCACAGTGTTGCCTCAGCCTGAATGAGCTAGTGCCGTGGCAGGGGCCTTTGCTCAGCATGATTTGAACCTGACTCTCAAGCTATTAAAATAGCACAAATTATAGCTGTAACCTCGCGGGGTGACTGATTTTTTTTTTTTTTTTGGAGACATGGCATTAGGATCAGTGCCATCCTGTGGGTGATACGCTGTGTTTTAATGCAGTGCTCTCTCCCATTGGGGCAGAAGACCTGGGACCATCCGTAGCCCAATCCTCAGTTTTTCTGCTTCCTGCTACAAAAAGTAGCAGTAATTAAACCCACATAATGTGCATAAAAACACAAGTGTTTGGGTTACCGATTGTGGTGCCTGAGCACTCAATGCCCAGTGTCTTTTCTCTATGGAGACAGTTTTGAGTTGAATTTTCTGTCACTTGCTTTGGGTTTAGTTTGCAGCGCTGTCGCCTCATTGGGAATACTGCTGGAGTCCCCTCTGCCTTGTATGAGACTTTCAAACCCACAAAATAGCCATTTCAAGAGCTGCTTCCTCGGAGGGGCCCATGGCATCTCGTGCCATGCTCATTTGAAACTCTGGCCATAAATGGCTTAACGAGAGCTGGGGGTGCTCAGCAGTTTTGCTAATCTGGCTCTCATTTCGGTGCCTAAATGGGAGCCGAGGGCTGTTTGGTTGGCTGCTTTATTTTTTGACACTGTAGGCCAGCATTTGCAAATCTGGCTCTGGGTCCTTTTCAGCCTGGCCTGGATTGACTACAATCAGTTGTGACTTTTGTTCAGTCTGGAGGCAGTAAATGCCTTGCATTTGAGGATGGGAGGAAAAACCCTCTACTTCTTCCAGTCTAGTATGTGCCTGTAGCCACCTTGTCCTAATTTGTCACTTTATCCCTTGCAGCTGCCAGTGAAGCTAGTGAGTTATCCAAAAATCAGGTCGTGCTACCTGCGAATGACATTTTGGATTCTGATTTTTTGCGGAATATTCAGATGCAGCGTGTGCACCAAACCTTGGCTTTCTGACACGGGGTGTGAAGAACACTGGAAAACTCTTCTTGTAATTACCACTCGTTGCAGCAGGCCAGCACAAAGTATTTCTGTCACTTAAGTGCCAAAACAGGACAGGACTGGGACAAAACATTTGGGCTGGACTTGTACATGGGATCACCTTTCCTGGTGCAGTTTCCTTCTGGAAGTATCTCTAGACTTGTTTGAATCCTTAAAAAATACAAGACTGTCTAACTTGTTAGCCAAAGAAAAGCTGAATTGGTTATTAGTACTGTGAAAAGCGTCAGTTAAAAGAACCATAATCAAGCTGCCAAGGGTTGTGTAATGAACTTGAATGAGTTTAAGACAGCATGGTTTTTCTGTTCCCGTTTAATGGGTTTTCATGGAGCTTTTGCTCGAAGAATCTCAAAGCACGTAAGTTATTTGACTTAGTGGCCCTGGGCAGCAGAGTTTTTCCTCCTATTTGTGGAGGAGAGAGCAAAGGCAGCAAGCAATGCAGAGCTGGGTTTGCAAAGGTGAGCAGTGTTTTGGGGTGATGGAATTCAGGGCTTTGAGCTTTGGTTTCCAGGCCCTGCTCCCCACAAGTGGTGGTTGGTGCAGTCTGTGGTGCAAAAAAAGGGCATCCAAAAATGAGTTGGGACCATTGGAGGATTGGGGTGCAAGTGAGATGCTTGGAGTACCTGACCTGCAGGCTTGTGCTCAGCAGGAGGAAGATAATACAAGTGCCCTGCAAACCTCCTTCTCCTGCAAATCTTCCTGTAGCTACCTGGCAAATAAATTGTCTGAGTCTTTCCAGGACGCAGAGGAAATGAGTGTCTGTAATCTGCCTGGAAAATTCATCTGAACAGGCTATGTACACACAGATCCACACGTGATGCTGTGTGGCACTTGTATGTACTGAATGCCATTGGACCCCCAAAGCAGGGCAAAAGCCTCTTCCTTTTTATTTTTACATTTTTTTTTATTTATTTTGTGTGTGTGTGTGCAAACCTTCTGCGCACAATTGTGCTCTTGGGCCAGGGCTGCTTTCCCAGAGCGCGGGGCACCTTCCCTTCCCTTGCGCCCGTCAACAAGACCCTCTTTGTGTGGGGAAAGGGCTGCCCCGTGTGGCGCGCGGGAGCCCTGGCGTTTTGCGGAGCGTGTCCGGAGCCAGACTAGGCGAGCAGCAGGAACGTTTATTGCCTGTGCATAATTTATGAGCTTGAAGGGCTTTGACTATCATCCGTCTCTGCCAGGGGCTGGCACGGAGGGCTCAAGCTGTACCTTGGATGGCGCTCACAGCGCTGGCTTGTCGTCGGGGCGGGAATTGAGGAGCACGAGCAGGGCAGTGAGGGCTGTGCGGGCCTTGGCAGGGCCACGAGGGCCGCACGGGCCCCAGCGGGGCCGTGAGGGCATCAGCAGAGCCACGCAGCCTCCTCAGCAGTGCTGGGGAGCGGCCGCGCTGCGGAGCCGCTGCCAGTCCCGGCCGCGTGGCGAGGGAGGCCCGAGCTCTTCTAATCAGCTTGGCACCTGTGCTGCTGCCGTAATGGCCACCAGTAGGTCTCGCTCCTCCGCCATATGCTTAACTTGGGAGACAAGGTGCTGCTGGGTATGGCAGTAATTATTTGATGTGGAATTAAGCGGACCTTGAAATTAGAACTGGCCTGTCGGCGAGCGCGAGGCTTAACGCTTTGCTGGAACCGGCTCAGCAGCGAGGCCCCTCTGCACAACGCCTCTGCTGCCCTGTGCCAGTCGGGGTAACGGCGTCGCTGGCAGGTTCAGATTTGCCACTGGCAAGTCCCCAGCTCCCCCTGGTACCTCCAGCGCTGCAGAAACCCCAGAGCCCCAGGCTGCTTCCCAGGTTGTCGGCAGCAAGAGGGGCAAAGAAATGGAGCAACTGGCTCTGGGCTCCCTGCTTGGACATGAGAGGTGTCTCCTCAATACCCTATAGTGCGCTCATCCCAGTCTGTAGGGTGCACAGTCCTTGCTGTCACATTGGGCCTTGGCAGTAATGAAAGGGTGGAAGAATTCATCCCAACAGCTCAGTTTTTCTAGCAAACTGAAAATGGGGATAGGGAATGGAAATTTTGTGATGTGCTCTGAATTTCATGGATGGAAATCTGTAAACAGGAGTCTTGCTTTGCCAGCAAATGCTACCTGCGTCCCCAAATTTCATATATGTAGCTGTGCTGCAGTCAGCATGTGTGACTTCTTGAGGCTGAGGGTATGAGTACATTATATACAAGAAAGTTGTTCTAAAAAGTACCATTTTCTGACTGTTTATGAAGTACCCCTTGCATGAGGGTTTCAAATTTTGAGCTCAAACTGCCTCACCTTTGTGCTCCATTTCATTTTTTTAAGCTACTGGAGTATTTCAGTGCAACTACTGGTGTGTAAATCATTTCAGTGATTAAAGAAATGTTGCTTGGATTTTAGTTAGGGACCTAAATGGAGATCTAGCTGTGGGTGGGAGGAAGCCTGGTTCTGCTGGGTGACGTTCTGCTCCCCTTTGAAGCATCTGAGACTTGCCGAGGTGCGAGTTGGTCCCTGAAGGGTGGAGGCAGTTCAGTCCCACAGGGGTGGAGGCTGTTTGCAGGTGATTCTCATGCCCTGCTGCTGAGCGCAACCCCTCAGTTGTTACTCAGAATTAGGTGGGATGAGTCAGAATCTGTGCCAAATTAGAGCAGCTGCTGGTTGCAGTGTCCTCGCGCACCCATTTCCAGCGCTCTTCGGGTACTTTTAGCAAGGCTGAGCGTGGCCCAGACTTCTGATGTTTCTCTACCATCATCTGTGATTCCTCTGCTTTTCTATTGTATTTCTTCAATACTGTAAGCCATTAAAAAACTGACCCTTGGCACTTGATAATTAGCAAGAGCCTTTTGTATTAATGATCAAAATTATACACTCTTATAAATGTCTACTGTGTTACTGGGGCTACTCTAGGAAATCTCAATGAATCCATTAATTTGGCATGTTCTTGGTGTCACTACAGTCTGATTCTTTAATGGAACAGCTGTAGGCAACGATGCAGGGTGAGTCTTCCAAGTACTGCTGGAGTGAGAGGATAGCCTTGTAAATGCTTCTCTTCTGGGATGGGCAAACTTGAATTATTTCCATTTCCTCCTATGTGAGAAGCCTTTGAAGCTAACTTATTGGCAGCCAGCATGAGCAATGCAAAAGAAAAAGAAACAACCCTCTAATACTGTTTTTCTTCCTCCCTGATCCAGTTTTAGAGTATAAATGTCCTTGTGCACCATCAGCTCCCTTTTATGTGAATTGGCCTGGCAGAGGGCATTGCAAATGCATTTTGTTGAATCATGGGGAAAAAAAAATGCACTGAAAACATAGTAATGTGTTATCTTCAACAGTAAGCAGAGTTTCCCTCCTGTACAGTAATTGTGGTTTTCCCTGAAGGAGCTGGAGTTGATGCCACAGGGCTTATGAGTATTTCATCCATCTTGTTTGGAGAAATCTTTGCTTTTTTGCTTTAGCAACTTTCTCTTACCTGTTCTTTTTTCTTTTTCTGTTTCAGTGCGATAGCGACAGTGACCAAGAAGAAAAGGTAAGAAACGGGCTTGGTGTGGGTACAATAATATGTTGCTGGATTCACTTATTCCTGTTATGCTGTTACTTGCTCAAAGTTTCTTTTTGGATTGATGCAGTACAGCTCTATACAAAGAAAAGACTTGGTTCCCTTTGATTTGCTTTTGGGGGAGACCTGTGAGGCAAGAGTATTCCAAGGAACATTCTGGAGGCTGTACAATCCATTTTCAAGCATATTGATCCAGGGTTTGTGCATGTGTTATCTATGAACACCATTTTGACTACCAACCCTTTTTGTGGCTGCGTTTTCCCTTGGGAAGTGCTGGCAGTTTAATAACACAAGGGAATACCTTTACAAGCCTCACATTTTCACTTTTTAACAGTTATTTAACCATGCACTTGTCCGTTTTGCTTAACTACAAGCAAGGTTCTTCAGACTCAAATGGAAGTGTTAGGAATTATATTTTTTTAGAAACAACATTTGGAAACTGTACATTAAGTGACACATCTTGCTGATAATTCTCAATAACTGTGGGTTTCTAAGTGGGAAAAAGAAGATTGTGATGCTGAAGAGAAGACAGAGGCACTGGTCTGTAAAGCTATTTATTGTTTAGGAGGCTGATAGTAATGAAGAACTAATATTCACTTTGCATTTTCATCTTACATTTTGTTATGGATGAACAGACTGACCTCTAACTTCCTTATCTGCTGAAATGAAATAATCATTGAAGGAAAAACTCCTCTAACTTTATTTCCAGGTTGGAATTTTGTGATTCCATTCATATGTTGAACCTTAAGAGATATCTTGACAATGAAATTGCTTTTTCCTCCTCTCTTAACTGAGTGAAGTGGTGGCAGAAGCTGGGGGTCTAACAAGATGCCAGAAGAACAGGTTGAGGAACGCTGCGTTATTGAGAGTTTGAGGCATTCTGTTAACTAGCTTTAAGCTAAACTGAGTGGGCTGTGCTGCTGTGCGACTAATGCCACAGAGAATAAATATTTTGTGAAATCCAGAAGGAAACAACAAGTGCAGAAATTGCCTTTCATAAACTCGATCAGTTCAACACGGGATTTGTATAGTAGGAAGCCAAGGAAATTTTCAAGCCATTCTGTATGCGACTGCCAAATCTTTGCCCTTAAGCTTTTAGTTATTTCCCAAGTAGAGATTTTTTTTTCTTGCATCTCTTAATAATTTGCTAACTCTGTTAAAGAACCACTGTTTACTTAGAACTGCACTGATTTCCCTTTCATAAGGGAACTAATCGCTGGAGTTAATCAGTGTGTGACAACAGAAAAGGGAGTTCTTGTTTTTTTGCACAGAATTAACTTGCATTTTTTGGATATGAATTTTTAATGCAATACCATTAAATCCCATCTTGTGAAGTGATTATTCATTTTCAGGATGTTCCTTCTGCAGTGGAAGATGATAAACTGAATTTCAGCCCCTATGTTTATGGCTCCTAGAACTAAAAGTATAATTTCCTGCCATGCCAAATGTGGCAGAGCTTAGCACTGTAAATAGGGGATGTTCTTCTCTTGTGGCACTCCTATATGAAGAGGCAAATAGGCAGTTTTGGGGGTGCAGGTTTTGCTATTTGGGGTGGTTTCGGTGGTGCGATCTGAGACATTCCAGTTGTACCTCACACAGAGTATCCCAGTGCTTGGGTAGGAAAGATTGAAAATCCAGCCCTGGATTTCATCCGTGTGATCTATATTTTGTCTTCCCCCCTAATGAAATGGGATTAAGTGCAGATCCAAATATCCCTAGTAATTTAGAGCTGTTCAAATCCCAGGACCAGACCCAGCTTTGAGTTTTATAGCTCAGACCCGAGTCTAAAAGGCGATTGCTAACTCTGGCGTGTTTGTTCAGGCCGTGTTGGCAGCTGAGGTAGAGATCTGAAGGCCTTGTTCTGCTGTTAATTTGAATTCAGCATATGTAGCCTGTTATAAAATGCGAGACATCATCATTTGAGCAGGTCAAGCATATTCAGATGAAGACAAATGGTGCTTATTTGATTTTCTTAAAATCAGGAAATGAAAAAAGTGCTCTCTGGAGAAATCATGTTCTGCCTGACTTAGATGATAGGCCAAGGCATGTACCCCAGATAAGAACAGGCGCTCGGCTGGCGGGTTTTATCTCTGAAGGACAGTCGGGACTGTCAGCTCGCTGACATGTGCATTATCCATGTCATTTCAAACAAAGTGACCTGTGGAAAAGTGCACTCTGCCGTGACATGATAATGGGCTGTTGGATGACAGGTAAAGTACACACTATAAAGGAGGCTGTGCGTTATTCCTTTGTTTAACTGACAACTAGGAACTTCCTTTCTTTAGACAGGCAGGATCTTTTAGATCTCTTTCAATAGGACCCTGGAAGATTTGGAGTCCCCACTTGAAACAAAATAGCATTTTTCAGACCAAAAAGTCCTCTGAGTAGAACAGGCCAGGGGAAGAGCAGGTGCCAAACGCCTGTGCAGGAAGTTGGTGGTTTCGTAAATTGTGCTCAGTGTTCCCAGGTTTCATCAGTGACAGGAGGAGCTGAGGATGCTCAGCAGGATTGGAACTTGTAGGATCCTTGGCCCAGGCGTCTCGTCTCGTCCCGAGGGTGCTGACCTCCAACGATGGAGCTTCTCTGGAGTGAACTATCAAATTGTCCTTGCTTAGTCCTAGGTTAGCATATTCTGCAGACTCACTGCTTATTCTTTTCCCACCCAAAGCGCATCTTGTTGAGATGCTCCTATGAAAGGGGAGCTCCTTTTCTTTAGGGCTGTCTCCTCCAGATTGGAGCATACAGCACATACGGCTGTTGATACAGGTGGATCCCGTACTTGCCATTCAGAAAGGTAGAACGGAAAGAGCTTGGCTTCATGTAGGAGTTTGGAGGGCTGATCCTGCAGTGCACTTGGGAAGCAAGGGCTCCACAGGAGAAAGGAGTGAGGCAACAAGGGGCACTGGGTAACGTTGCACGGGTTTCCACTAGGATAGATAAGACCCGTGGTTCAGAAAGATGCGTCAGTGTATTTGAAGCGAGAAGGCAGATCAGTGTGATGCAAAACGTGTGACAGGCCAAGCTGGTCTCCAAAGGCAGCTGGGTCAAATGTGTCTCCGAGCGCCTCACTGCAACCAGACAATCCGTGGAGGAGCAGGACATGGGGGCTAGGGAGTGAGCGGTGGAGCCTTTAGCTCACAGTGTTCCCTTTTCCCTCACTTGAATATGTGTTTATCTGGCTGTGTAAATCACTGTTGTTACCTGATCTCTGTTAGGTGGTGACGCTGCCTCCAATCCATCTTCCATAGCCTTTAATTGGGAGCCGACAGACAGAGTCGCTTTCTGTCTGTGTCTGCCCTCGCAGGAAACATTTCTCGAGAGGTTTCTCTGCAAGAGGAAACAAGGATCTTTAATTGAAAAATGATGCAGTCCTTGCTCAGAAGCACTGTATCTAGGGCTGTGTCAGCATCTCCATTTTAAATGACATGTTTGGGTGGGTAACTTACCTATTTATATAGATTAGTGCTCCTTCATTCTCATTAGGCACACAGTTTTGGACCAGGATATTCAAAATTTGCTCTCCTGTTGCTAAAATCCTGACGAGGTAACCAGTCTATCTGTGGAAGGAAGTATATTTGGATGTAAATCACTAGTACTTAGCGAGATGTCATTTTTCTGTCTCTGGGATCCTTTCAGCAAATGCCACTGGGATCTCCCACCGAATCAGGAGGCAGGATGGGTCCCGGGGGCCCTCAGATTTTCTCCATTAAAAAGTCTACCAGACTTGCTCTTTGAGCAGGTCTCCAGAGTTGATAGTCTAAAATTAGGGCAAGCTATTGCACAGCTGACAAATTTAAGCACAACTGTGTTTTCCTCTGCTATCTGGATACAATCTTTAAAATTATACCCCTGGTAATTAACATAGTGAAAAAGCATTAATGCAAATATAACCTGTCTTGAAAAGACATATGAAACACCTTTATGAGGAAGTCAAAAGCTAAAGATGACTTACAGACTGGGATCCTTTCTGTTTAATTCCTCTAGCATTTCCTCTTGCCATTCCATGTAGACTAGTTTTAAAATTAAAGCTCAGTGTGGTGCTTTGGTGTTTTTCACTGAAGCTTTTTGTAGGAAAATATTTCGTTAATCAACAGGGACCGCTTTGCAGCATACACAGAGTTGTTACTTGTGTTATATTCAAGAGGGGAGAAGATGGCCTGCATTGGCTTGAATTTTAGCTAGCTTTGATCAGAAATGTGGAACTTTGACATGCAAATGACTGCAAGGAATGACTTAATGCCCAATGTGTCCTGGTGGCACTCAGACGCTTCACTTAGTGACGTTCTTGAGTGCCCTTAGGAGCTGTTCTTCCAGGGCCCTGCGTCATGGAGGGCAGTGACGGAGTAGCCGTGGTTACTGCCGTGGTGCGTTCCTGGGGGAACGGCTTGGCCTGGGGTGGGCGTTGCATAGGGTGCAGTTTGGGAGCAAGCTGGAATTGGGCTGTATTTAGAGCCCACCTTGGTGGGAGCGTGTTGCTTGTTGACTCAACTGCTGTCTCGAGTGGCACCATAGGTGTCACATGATCCGGAGAGAGGAAAAAAAAACATCTGCAGGCTATTTGATGCATCAGAATGTCTTTAATGACAATGCTACAGCATTTGATTATATAGAAAACAGCTATGAATTTAAGATTATGGCATGGAAAACATTATAAATGGCTCTGGTATGCTCACATAAAAGGACTGGTTATTTACGTATATCCAGTGCACATGAAAGCATTCACACACGCACTCTGCCTCTGCTTCCAAAACTCTTTGGGATAGTCTTTTTTTAGGGCTTTATAGTATCATATGTGTGTTGCCCAGTTTTAATACATATAGTGTGTTTGTTTGCCAGTTATATACATGCACATATGTGTAGTTACACACACATATATATGCATGGGTGCTTTCTGCTGTACTTCCGGCACAGTTTGGAAAACAAAACAACCCTATTCTTAGTGCAGCTTTGCAAGCTCTGCTGGCTTGAGT